ACGTTGCTTGCACCTAATATATATATATGATACTATGATAACTTGATCTCGATCTGTATACTGTTGTCACCTCGCAACGAATCGAATTCTTCACATACAGCTGGTTGACCAAAGTTTGCAAATCGCGATTACAAGACTCCAACTTTCTTCTTTTGCATTTTTATACCTAATGGAAGTTTTTTGTATGATTTTGATAAACTTCTGTTCAAATCTTCAACGTTGACCCCACAACTCCCAAAAACTCCACATTGACCCCCAAATCTTCATATTCATCCACGATTGGTCCTCCTCAAGTTTCAAAAGTGTGCAATAGTAAGAGTTAACGAATTCTTTTAACGGTAGGTCTTGCCCAAACTTTCTATAAGTTGAATTAAATTCTCAAAGCTTGTGAATTCCCTCCAATTGCTCTTCTAATACTTCCCATTATTCCATGTCATCATGTTAATCTTCAATTGATTGAAGCCAACACCAATTAAACTCAAAATCTTATTTTTCTTATTTTAATATATCCGGATTATGATTTTACCTATGATCGCAATATTTGCACTAAATTTAGTAGAAATTCACTAAATTTATAATATATATAAAACCCTTGTTTGATGAAAATTAAAGTTTAGATTTTAATAAAAGTCAAAGTCAATAATTAATTTAAACCATATATTTCATGGAACTTATAACTTTTCAACTATACATTTCATCAATTTTTATCAAAATTTACTAAAAAAATTATTTTAATCTCCACCAAACAGGAACTAAGTTAATAAGTCACGATAAGCATGTAAAATATAATTATGAGATATCACGAACATCTAGTAATTTCAAGTTAAAATAAAAGATAAATATGCACTTGTTTGTTACCTTTTCTTCATTTTAGCCCTTGTTAGACAACTATTATTTAAAAAATTATTTTTTCTACATACTTGTTGTCAAACACATTCAAACAAAAAAATATTTTGCTTGTAAACCCAAAAAAAAATTCTTATTTTTTAATCACACATTTCTCTAAAAATATTTATTTGTTGTAAATGGTAAGTTTATTAGTGAATAATAATTGTACATCTGCAACCCTAGAAATTATTATTATTATTGTATCTCTAATCCTATCCTATAAATATAGAGATTTGATTTTCATTATAATAAACACAAGTTTATTGATTTTTATTCTATATTCTCTTTTTCTCTCTTTTCACAACACGTTATCAACACGATAGCTTAATTTTTCAAAGTTTAGTTAATGTAGTAATTTTTGTAAGTATAATCATCTATTACACGTACCAAAATTAATTTGGTGATATGAATTTTTTTCGTCAATTCACGTATCCAATTCATATATGTTTATTAATAGTGCAAAAATCATAATTATCCATGCATTCAATTCAAATTCATGAATCTCGAGACTGACTTTATTCATAAATTAATAAATCTAATTCATAATAATAATAACAATACATGTCCGTTTATTTGGTTTTCATTTTAATAGTAGAAAAGCTGCTCAACTTTTATAATAAAATGGTGCAGTCAATTCATGGTTTACTAATATCAATTCCATGGTTAAGTATTTCGTCAATTCACGAGTTTGTTTAGGTATAATGATTATTTCATTATATATATGCATAAAGATTATTTTGTCCCATTTGCATGTCTATATATAAAGTTCATTCACGTTCACGTTTGTAAGATTTTATTAAACGAGTGAGTCCCAATAACGGTTATATTTTCAATTTTAATTGGATTAAAATTCATCCCGAACAAGTTCATAAATTCATATAATGTCTATATGGTAATTAAATATTTTTAGATGTTTTTCTATAAACTTTAAATTAATAATTTAACATTTTGCTGCTCATGAAGTAGCGCAACATTACAATTAATATTCCATAAGAATATTACTCATTCTTGAAGAGCATAAATTATATTTTCAAAATTTCAGAAAAGTATTGATACATTGTTTTTGAAGAAGCAATACTAAAATATAACGTACTCCCCAAGTAGTACATGTTTCGAAAAACATATTATTTTAAATTAGTGTTTATCTTTGAAGGAAAATACGTAACTTATGTCATGTTAATAGTTATTACTTGATTAATTATTGTGTGATATTTAATCATATTCTTCGAGATTAATTATATTTTATTTTATGGTGAAGATAGTCAAATAGTAAACATTACAAAATTCTACATGAATTGTCGAGATATCTGTTTAGTTGATTGTGCAAATACGCACACTATTTTTCAAGACAAAAAATATTTTTTGGACTTAACATTAGTAGAAAATAATGTTAATACAATATTAGGTGTATCGAATATCGTTGAAATATTCAGAAGAGCTTGTATTATAAAATCAAATAATACATAATTATATATTCAAGATGTACTTTATTCTAGCAAATTCAGAAGAAATGTGCTTAGTTTTAAAGATATCAACTGCAATGGATATCATATTGAGACGATGCAAGAAAATAATATTGAATATATTTACATAACTTATTTTATATCTGATCAGAAGCAGGTAAAAGAAAAATTTCATGCACTCCAATCTGACATGTATTATACATTTATAAAAATGATCGAATCAACTATTATCACGAACTAGAAGTTCGTTGATTAAAAAAATTATATTTTAGCTTGATCGACTGGGACATCCAGGAGTTATAATGATGAGTCGAATAATAATAAATAAATAAAAACTCAAATTGACGTCTTTTAAAGAACCAAAAGATTTTTTTACCTAATGATTATCCGTGTTTAGCTTGTTTGTAAGGCAAGTTAATCATTACACATTTGACTACAAATGTCAATATTGAATATCCAACTTTTTTAAAAAGAATTCATAGAGATATATGTGGGCCAATACACCCATATGCAGATCATTTCGTTATTTTATGGTATTAATTGATTATTCTACTACATAATCATATGTTTGCCTAATTTTCACTAGTAATGTAGCTTTTGTTAGACTATTTGCTCAAATCATAAAATTACAAACGCAATTCCCCGATTACTCAATCAAGACTATTTATCTTGACAATGCTGATAAATTTATATCACAAGCATTCGATAATTATTGTATGTCTATTGGGATTATTATGGAACATTTGGTTGCACATGTCCATACACAAAATGATATAGCGAAGTCATTTATTAAACGTCTACAATTTAGTGCTAGACTATTGTTTATGAAAACAAAATTCTCAACTTTTGTTTAGTATCGTGTCATATTACATGGTGCGTCATTGGTTCATATTGGTTCAAAAGATTCTCTACCTTGAAAAGGAAAAGTATAAGAGAAAAACCAACAAAATTTTTTAGAAGAAGTAATATTAGAAAAGATGGATCAATCAAATATTGAAAATATGGTTCTTGAAAAATCAAAAGTGTCCGAAAATAATGAGATTTCAATAAATTATTTGTTATCTCATAAATAATGGGAAAGAAATAATGTTGCTACAGACAATATTTTCGCATTTAAAAAACATGGCTCTTGATAATATGCAAAATGAGGATTCTGAACCACAGTCTTTTAAAAATTGTCAACATAGAAATGATTGGCCAAAGTGGAAAGAAACCATACGGAAG